ATGAATCATATTACTAAATTAAATTAAGCTTTTATTTTTAAGATTTTAAATTTTTTACTTAATAAAATCATAAATAATAATGATAATGATTGGATAAGATTCAAAATTTTAAGTGTTTAAATATTAAATGAAATTTAGTTTAATGATATTGTTCTTTCCTTTTTCTTTTTATTTTTTATAGAAATTGTTTGGTGTTAAAGGATTTAAATTAAAATTTTGATTTAATTTTTGTAAAATTACTAATCATTACATTCAACTTTTAATTATGAATAAATTAAAAAAATTGAAATATTAGCAATAAAGATTATAGAGTTTAGTGATTTAACAATTGGTGATGGATTCGACATAGTAATAATGAGCATGATTTTCGGGAACTAAATGCTTATTTTGATAAAGATGCTCTTCGTTTAAGGTAAAATAAATGAATTAATAATGATGTTTCATCTATTTAACATTTGCTTTTACTGTGGATTTGGCTTAAGAATTTTTTTTTATATTCAAAACTTATTTTATAATGAATTTAGTTTAAGATTGAATTTTTTTTATTATTATACTTGATGAACTTATTTTATATTATGTATTTTAATATTTGTTGGTTTAGATTTTAAAAATTATATGTATTTATTTAAATTTATTATCTTAAATGGTCTAAATAATGATTTTCAAATTGATCTTATGATGATTATTTTTAAAAAATAAAATAAAAGTAATATATAATAATAAAATATAATAAATATGTTAAAAAAACTACTTTTTAAGTTGACTAGTTGAACCAATCGAATGAACCGATTCAATCAATTCAACCAGATCTAGTGATCAAACCAAATCAACCACCGAGTTGGGCTCAAAAACATTGGTGGTGTGGTTATTTGTCATTCTTTTTCCTTTTTCCTTTTTCCTTTTTCCCTTTACCTTTGACAATGTGAAGGTGGTAATGGTAAATGAGCTGGATCTTTTGTCACCATAGGGTCTTTGAGTTTGAGATTTGGTATTTTAGGTGGCCGTAGGACTTTCTATGACATAGATACTTGCATTTCAACTCTTGCATACTAGTCATTCTTTATTTTGTTTGTTTTATTTTATTTTTTGATATTGTAGGTATCCAAACCTTTGGACACCAATCATTCTTTATAAAGTACGTTAATTTGCATATATTTCTCCCTTTATATTATTGATAAAGGATTGATATTTTACTAGAAAATCAAAACAATGTCTTGTATATTGTACATGAAAGGCTTAGCTTTTTTCCTTTAAGGGGGGTTTTCCATTTTTACCATTGTTTTTTTTTTCCTCCTTTCTCTGTTTTTTCTTCAACTCACTTATGAAATTATTAATCTGAAGCTATCCTACAGAGCAACAACAAATGAACTTGGATCTTCTTATACTTTTTATTTCCTTTTCTCCTAAATGGATTTGTTTCTGGTCTATATGTATCTATGCACATTGAAAGGCATGGCACCTTTGTTAAATAAAAAAGGAAAAAATGAATTTCTTATTTTTTGCCATTGCAATTTTGAGTATTAGGTGATATGTTAAACCCAGGTATGCATTGGTTATTATTGTATATATTTTTTTTTTCATGCAATGGAAAAGCTTCCTTTTTGGGAAAAAAAAGAAAAGAAAAGAAAAGTATACATAAGAGATAAAAGGAAATCATAATCATTGAATTTTTTCTGAATGATTCTAGGTTACTATTTTGCTTCTTACTGAGATCACTCCAAAAGGTATTGCCGTTCACAATCCCATAGAGGTGGCTAGATTTGTGGTAAGTTTTCCATTTAAGTTTTCATTTTCTTCTTGAGCTTGCAACTAAAACTTTGCTGAAAAACTTTAACTTTCTCTTTAAAACTCCATGGTCTATGTTGCTATTTAACTCTTTTCTACTTAGCTGATGACTGCTAGCAAACTAAAATTATTTGGCTAATACTGTTTGCTGTGTCATTAGGTCAAGCCAGTGGCATGGCTTTCCTTGATACTATATATAGTGGGAAGAATTGTTACTTATTTATCAATGGGAATATGAAAATCATATCCTCTATTTTGTCTATTGCATTTTTGTTTCTAGTTATTTGTTAGTGTAAGTTTGTATTGACTGCTTTATGAATGCTTTGCATGTTTTCTCTTTAAATTAGTGAACCTTATGTTACTGAAGATGAATTAAAGCTGATGCTATGTGGGGTAGAGTTGAGTGGAGCAATAGAGGAGGAAAAGCAGGTAGTGAAATAAGCTAATTTTTCTTTATTGTACTTGCCTGAGTGTCTCTTTTGTTGCTAATAAGAATTAGAAACTTTCTTCAGTTTCTGAATTCTTTTACTAATGAAATTGATTGGTATCATCCATGCTTGACTCTAGTTGCGCATTTACAGTAGAGTGTATCTTTTTCTTGCCATATATTTCTCTACCAATTTCTGTTTAAATAGTCACATTCTAGAGGAAATCCAATTTAATTTTTTTGCCAACAGGTGCCTTTCTATTCATTTACAGTTCAGATGCTCTAATTTTATGAATTCCTTGTAGGATATGATTAAAACTGTATTAGAGATAAAGGATACTCATGTTAGAAAGGTCATGACACCCCTTGTTGATGTGGTTGCAATTGATGCAAGTGCAACTCTTGTTTATTTCCACCATCTGCGGGTGACTCACCAATATTCAAGGTAGGAAATTGGTAATTCATCTCTAAGGCTTTATCTCCTTCAAGAAACTTGTTAAAAGATTTTTGTTTACAAGGTACCTGTTTTTAAGCAGTGTGTTGACAATATAGTTGGCATTGCATATGCAATGGATCTACTTGATTTTGTTCAGAAGGTCAGGCAATTTCTTCCTTTGACGCACCTTTTCTTCCATCGTTAGAACTTTTCTTATCAATTATATGCAACAATATCAATATCATAGCATGCAGATTTATAATCACTTTGATTTTTATTTCTATTTTTGGGAACTGGTGAAGGGTGAGCAACTTGAAAGTTCCACTGTGGGAGACATGGTTCACAAACCTGCCTACTTTATGCCTGGTAACTCTGGACTTTTTTCTCTAGTTGATATTTTAATGATGTTCTTTGGGTTGATATTTTAATGATGTTCTTTGGGTTGATATTTTAATGATGTTCTTTGGGTTGATATTAACACTTTCTAGTTTTTCATGACACTATCCACTGGTTGATTGAGGTAGTTGCATAGTTTTTTTTTTCTTTTTTCCTTTTTAATTGCTATTACCCCATTTTCTCACCATATTATCCACATTTTATGTGTAGATGTCATTTCCTTTCTGATTTTTGTAATTAATCGAAGTGCAAAAGATCCTGTTTCATTAGACTTATTTGTTGTTTTAGTAGTTATTGTCTAGGGGAAAAGAAAATGGAAAAAATAGAATGCTTCAACTATCTATATAGTAAAATTTATAAAGTTGGTTTTGCAAATTCAATGTCAATCTGGAATCTTCTTAGAGAGTTCCGGATCAGGAAGGTTGACATGTCTGTTGTCCTTAATGAATATTGTGGAACTGTTAAGGTCTATGCAAAGCCTCTTATTGAAACTTTACCTAAACAGAATCATCCATTGTGTTGAGGTTTTTTATTACGATAAAGTGCCAACTTCTACCATTTTATTTGTTTTTATTTTGTGCTGCATGTCAACTTATGCTAACTTGTGATATCTCGAAACAATAAGGGACAACATTTGTGATATTTTGAACTTTGTTCTAGAGTTAGATGCTGATAATGCTTTCCCTGCTAAGAGGCTGAAAAAATAAACAAAATTTTTTCAATTGGAGCTAGAAGTTCTAAAGACAAAACCTTATTCTTTATTAACATGTTCTTTGTGCCCACTTAAAGTAGTATATGTTCATTGTTTGTTGGCATCCAAATGCCATAACATAAACTCAATGAAACGTATGAAGGTAAAAGGTCAAACAGGATAATAAGCTGACCACTTAAAATCTAAAATGGTTAGTATGACCCCTCAATACCTTAACTCGTGAGCTTGCACCTAGTATTAGTATGTTATTCAAATTTTACAACTTCAAAACTTTGGCACGTAACATTAATTTCAGGTTCTACATGGTAAAGGAGACAAATAGGAGTTCCCTGTAGATGAAACTCAAATGCTCTCTCATATGTTTTGAAATCATTTTTCTTCTAAAGTTCAGATGAGAGTGGAATATGCACCATGAGAGCACAAAAAGTCTAGAACTTACTATGCATGGGTTTTCTTTCTCTTTTGGATTGCTTATTTAACAGTATTTGTGCTCATTTTATTGATTGATTGATTTTATATATTTATGTATTCATTTTTTGATGGAGCAAATGGTAACCTTAGAATATGTGGTTGAGGAGATTGTTGGAGAAATCTTTGATGAAAATGATTCAAACATAAGCCTAATTACATCATTAATGACCTTAATGTTCTATTATTGAATCTGTTATTGGAGGCAAGTCTTTTAATTATATAGATAACTTTAGATATTACATTCTATTATTCCTCAGCAAGGGGATGCTAAGAAAACTTCTTGATGAAGTCCAAAACAAATTGGTGTTGTACATGTGCTACCAATTTTCTACAGATCAATTGATCTAGATTCTGCTTTATTTCCAGTTTCTGGTCTCTTTTAGTCTGGCATGTATTTTGTCTGCATTTTCCTTGTGACCAAAGAATTTCATGTCACTTCTCACGTCATGTCGATATTTCTTTACTCTATAGGTCCAATATCAATTAGCATTATAAGGTTTAGCTTTGCCTGATTCTTAAGTGCTATGTTATATATATATATATATATAATGATTCTCAAGTGATACTTATTAGATGCATTTGCTGCTAATTGTATTAACAAGAGGAGATCCAAAAGAAAATTGGCTATATTATAATGAGAGCAGAGGGAGTATATGATGTTGATGCCAATACATCTATTTATTTGCTATCTAAGGACTTGAATATCAAAATGCCAGAGGTATATTATTCCACCTTATTATTGGTTTTCGTTGTTATGGTGTATAGAGCACCGAATGGAGTATTTGAACTTCAAAGCCAAAACCTCAGTTATTAGGATCATTTCTACCTTTGATTGTTTCTGTATTTTACACTTCTCCTGCCATTTCCACAGGCTCATTAAAATTTTATTTCCGCCACATGGTTGATCATAGGAATCTTAAAAATAGGCATGCTTATAAACTTGATATGTCTGATTTTAGTGGCAAAGGAAATTCTGTTTATTGTGACTATTGTGGGATTATCATGCCTTAAGATTAAGTGACCACTGCTTGAAAAAAAAAAAAACAAACAAACAAAAAAGAAGAAAACAAAAAACAAATGAAAAAGAAAAAGGAGAGGATAAAATAAATAGTTAAAAGCGGAATGTGGTATTCAATTCATTTTGCAATTCATTTTGAAGTAAGGCATAGTTAACCTCACATTGTAAATAACTATCAAAGTATCCTTAACTTACAAATTTCATATCTCTACTCAACATTTCTTTGTTAACCATGTTGTTCTATAGGAACATCAGTATGAGACAGTATCTGGTTTTTTATGCGAAGGATTTGGATACATCCCCAGAGCTGGTGAGAGCATCAAAGTTGTCCTCGAAAGGGATAATCAAGATGATGATGATGATGATAAGCACGATGAAGATGGATCCAATCATCAAGATGTGACGGCATCAAATATATAGACTTGTGGTAGGTTAAAAGCACTGAATGGATTTCAGTAAAAAAGAAAAAAACTAGGAAAGAAAACGCATGCAACTAGCAATCATGTAGTCTCTTTCACGTGTAACTTTTTGGAATTAATGCTATTATAACTGCATGCATTTGTTCATAGAGGAATCTGCTTTTATATTGCTCATCTTATGAGATGCTTCATTTGGTGGCTTAGTTCACTAAATTAAACTTAGCAACTGATAATATGATAATAATTCATATGCTCCATTTTTGTGTAACATTCAAGTTTAAACATTTTTTTTGGAAAATAAATTATCCATGTGATAACTATATAGGCTAATAAGACTAAATCTTGAGTGTCCAATTGAATAACTGATTAATGTAAGTGAAATGTTGTCCTTGGTGCAGGTATTGGCTACAAATGCCTGAAAGGTTACTGCTGTTTGTTTTGAGAAGATAAACAATGGGGAAGCAATGTCAGAGGCGAAAGAAGTAACTCAATAGATTCCCAAAATCATGAAGAGGAAAAGGAACGATAACAAATTGGATAACATTACCTATGTTGAGAATGCATTTCAAAAGAGACAAGAGAATCGCCTTTTTGATCGCTATGTAGTTGCTGAAGATACATAAGATAATGGAATTTAGCTGCATTGCATATTTCTGTTTTCTTTTTCTTTAGCTCCTTTTTTTCTTTACCCATATTCTTACTGCCCTATGAAGAAGAAACGAAAGGAAACCACAAGATTACTAGATAGACTAACATTGTAAAACTTTTTCACGGATGAAGCATCAACATCTGAAATATCATCATGGTCAGTTGTGCATATGCGGTGTCTCTGGACCATAAATTCTCCAATATTGGAGTCTGAATGGCCCAAACCTGGGTATTCCTGCTCTGCAGACTGGCTTCTCTTTTGAGTGTACACTGAAGAGGCAGCTTCGACTGAAGCATGAGTACAGGGTGGAAAAGCAATCTGCATGGCACATAAGGCATAGCTACATTGATCTACCTTGATTCAGGCAACATCCATAAGAGCTCTTTCTCCTGCCTCATCTCCTTGGCTTTCTCCACCTGTCTGAACCATTCTTGCAGAAGAGCAATGGATGGATGAACGATTGTTGGATCAATCTGTCTATCTTCACTCATAATTGAATTTGAAAATACCAAATTCTTGATTAATTAAGGATAATATGCATTTAAACTGCTGGATTAAACAAATGGGCCTTAAAGGCCCATATCTTACAAACATTTCATATCAATTGGACGGGGAAAACCCATAGAAAAAGTGGGCCCATGTAAACGCGGCCTTTCCCCTTGGAAAAGAAAGCCAGTTTTTTATAAATCTCCAGGTTTACAAAGGAGCAAAGTTTCAGCTCTCCTTCGCCTCTTTCCTACTCTTCTCCTGTGAAGACGAAGCAAGCAAATCAATCCATCAATCCACAATGCCGGCAGACATAGAAGATGAGATCAAGGACGAGAAGAACCCTCGTCCTCTCGATGAAGACGATATCGCTCTCCTCAAAACCTATGTACACTCTCTCTCCTTCTTTCTCCATCTTCTAATCTTTCGATTTACCTAGTATCCATCTTTATTTATGTGGGTTTTCTTCGATTTGTTCCTACGTTGTTAATGGGTCTGTCATTCTGTACACAGTTCCTCTCGAATTTTCCGATTTCGAGGGTGTTTAGCAAGAACTGGGTTATGATGTTTTAGGATAATTCGTTGTTTCTGTGTTTTAGGAGTGGAGTGAAAAATTCAAAGCAGGGAATACTGGTGTAAACTGTAAAGGAAGTTGCTTTAGCTGTTTTATCTTGGATTTTCTAATTTGGAGCGCTAATTTATGATACGTTGTAGGACTGTTCTTTGTTTTCGTGTTTGAAAAAAGAAAGAAAAAAAATTGGATATGGAAACTGCAAAGTATGGAATAACGGACTAAAGGAAGTTGCTTTCTCAGAACTGAGAACTGATGAGTGTTTAGTGACCGTCGTTTTTTGAGCTCGGATTTGCTTTTTTGTTCTTGAAGAGAGTTCGGATTAGAACCCGAGAAATGCAGTAGTGATTTATGGATGTTGCTATGCCCGTTTAAGGATGCTATGTCACTGATTTTATTGCTTTTTTTGTAATTTATGGACAATTTATAAGAGTTAGAAACAAGGTTTTGTTATATGGGAAATAACATTTGTTCTGGACATGTTCACAGCTTGTCAGCCAGTTTGTGCAATTTAACATGTAATTGCTGCTTCCGGGCTTTTATTAGTTTTACTCCTTTCAATTTGTGCTCAGTGAAGAAAGCTTCAGTTTTTGGTGGCATGTTTGTGTTATTACTTCTTTAACTTTTTATGCCTCTAATTGGTTTCTGCAGGGTTTAGGACCTTATTCCACGAGCATAAAGAAAGCAGAAAAGGAAATTAAGGAAATGGCCAAGAAAATCAATGATTTATGTGGTATGTTTTCTGGTTACAATGCTAAAATTATGCTGGCTAAAATCTCTACTTTTGCTTCTTCCTTTTTTTTTTTTTTTTGAGTGTTGGCCATCAGGCATGGTCGTTGGCTTTTTGTATCTCTACTTTGTGGTTCCTGGTTACTTTCCTGAATTCCTTCTCTTGTCTTCATTCTTTAAAAGGTATAAAGGAATCAGACACTGGGTTAGCTGCACCAAGCCAGTGGGATCTTGTCTCTGATAAGCAAATGATGCAGGAGGAGCAGCCCCTTCAGGTATCAATTCACTCTTTTTTTCTCTTCTCTTCTTCTTCTTCTTCTTCTTTTTTTTTTTTTGTGTGTTGGGAAGATGTATTTCTGAGATGTTGATTACTTCTTAATTTGCCAGGTTGCAAGATGCACAAAAATAATTAATCCAAACACAGACGATGCCAAATATGTTATAAATGTTAAGCAAATTGCCAAGGTATGGGTTTCTTAATTTGTCTGGTTGATGGATCAAATAAAGTTTCTTTTGATAGTTTTCTACTGGACATATTCTGCATAATATGGGTTCCTCATGAACCAACTAGAATCTGGTTTCTTACATCTACTATGGATTTTCCATCTTAATTGCAGTTTGTTGTTGGGTTGGGTGACAAGGTTTCACCTACAGATATAGAAGAAGGCATGCGTGTGGGGTAGGTTCTGGTTTTGTTAAATTATGTGAGGAGTTCATTCTTGTGCTTTCCACCTCTTTCGAACATTTTCTTGTGTTATGATGAATAGTCATGTTGGAAACAAATGTCATTTTGGATGCTTGGTTTTTGCAACAATAAACACCATCATGATTCTATTTGCTTGTGTGTCCATTTACACCATGCTCAAGGGAAAGGACTGTCCATTCTCTAATGATTTCTACTCCTCCCCCCTTATAGTGAAGTGTGTTTTCTGCCATTCGTTTCTGTTGCTATTTGTGGAAACTTGTTTGTTGATTCATTGACCATTACTCTCCCTCTACAGGGTTGATCGCAACAAGTATCAAATACAAATTCCCCTCCCTCCAAAAATTGATCCCAGTGTAACCATGATGACAGTGGAGGAGAAGCCAGATGTGACCTATAATGATGTAGGTGGATGTAAGGAACAGATTGAGAAGATGAGAGAGGTGGGTACTACATTTTTATAAACTGATAAGCCAAGCCTTTTGCTTGAACTGTAGGCAAACTAGGGTAAGAAACTGGACATTTGTTGATGAGTTTTTGTTTTTGGCTAGGTGGTTGAGCTACCGATGCTTCATCCTGAAAAATTTGTTAAGCTTGGGATTGATCCTCCTAAGGGTGTTCTCTGCTATGGCCCTCCTGGAACTGGTAAGACACTGTTGGCTAGAGCTGTCGCCAATAGAACAGATGCTTGCTTTATCCGTGTGATTGGAAGTGAGCTTGTCCAGAAATATGTTGGTGAAGGTGCTAGGATGGTCAGAGAATTGTTTCAGGTTATAAACTGCTAAATTAGCTCAAGTTTATTTCTTTGAAGAAATTAAAGTGCTCAAAGATTCAAAGTTTATGACTATTATCCTGTTGGCCTGTTATATAACAAAAATTTCTGCTGCAGATGGCACGTTCTAAAAAAGCATGCATTGTATTCTTTGATGAAGTTGATGCCATTGGGGGTGCGCGATTTGATGATGGAGTGGGTGGAGACAATGAGGTTCAAAGGACAATGCTTGAAATTGTGAACCAGCTTGATGGGTTTGATGCTCGTGGAAATATAAAGGTCCTGATGGCCACAAACAGGCAAGTTAGATGTTTATGATTCAACTTTATTTTGTGAAAGACTGCAGCACTTTTTCTGCCATCGCAGCCCATTAAACACCATTACAACATTAAGCTTGCACTCAAAATGTTTACATAGAGACGTAATAGCTGCATCATGTGTACAATATAGCTTTTGTTGCTTATTTTGCACCATTTTTCAGGCCTGATACTTTAGATCCTGCGCTTTTACGTCCTGGACGATTAGATCGTAAGGTCGAGTTTGGTCTTCCTGATTTGGAGAGCAGAACCCAGATATTCAAGATACATACAAGAACAATGAACTGTGAAAGGGATATTCGGTTTGAACTCTTGGCTCGGCTTTGTCCAAATTCCACTGGTAAAAATTTTTTCTTTTGTACTCGCTCATCTTGTCATGCTTTCTCTTTTTGTTTTATTTTATTTTATTCATCCATCTTACATAAATGGTTAATTTTCTGACTTCTGATCTGGATATCGTTTGAAGGAGCTGACATAAGGAGTGTATGCACAGAGGCTGGCATGTTTGCCATCCGGGCACGGAGGAAAACAGTCACAGAGAAGGATTTCCTCGATGCCGTGAACAAAGTTATCAAGGGATATCAGAAGTTCAGTGCAACTCCCAAATACATGGTCTACAATTAAGATCCAAGCGGCAGGAAAACACAAGGTTCAGGGACTTCTTTCCGAGCAAATGACATTATGGACCTTCAGTACCCATTATGGTTATCCACTCGTCCTTTTTCCTCGCCATCTTATCTGCCCTTTATTGACATTTGTGAAATTTAGCATTTCACTTTATTGTGTTTTTTTCCCTTGTTTCTCTTCCTTTTGCAATGAAGATATTAGTGTTATTTTTTCTTTTTGGTATGCAGATTTTAAAATGGATACTGTATATCACTGAATTCTTGCGAGGCAAGAGGTTTTCAAATGTCAAAATTTTCATATTGAATAAATGAAATGCCTGAGTCGAGAATATTATATATCAAAATTAGGAACCGTAAAGATAAAATTGTATGGCATTTACAGATCAAAGGGTGTGAATGAAATTTTCATTTGACATAAGCAGCAGCAGGGTGAACTCCACTGAAACATTTTACAGATTGTGGGGTTGGGGCCGGAGTTGAGTTAGGAGTAACATGATTAACACTCTTCATTGAGTGTAATGGAACAAAAATATTAAACATGATTACACATCTCGTAAGTCTCCGTCAACAGAACAGCAAAAGCGGGACTTCTGTTGCAATTACATGTCGTCGTGCGTATCTTGGTTCTCAGCTCGCTGGGATGCTCTATGGTCTGTTCCAATCGTCCTCTTACTCATGTTAGCTCGTTGCACCAACCGAACCAATGCTTGAACCACTTCTGACATGGGTGGTCGAAACTCAGGCTCCGGCTGCCACAAGCAGAGAGTCAGATCATACAAGTAAAAATTTCTATATCATTCTCCTGTTTCATGTGATTTAGAAATCCTGAACTTGAAGTGTTACCTCATTAAAATGACCATGTCAAACCAAAATTCTAAGATTCAGGATAGCTGAAACAGGAAGAAAGATACATATCCTGGACCTGTTGCAATTTGGTTGAGATTAGGATTACCTGGACACACAGAGCAATCACATCTGCAAACCGAGAGAGAGATTTAACTGGATAGAGCCCTTCAAGTGCAGGATCAACCATCTTAGATAATGCATCAATGTCATGGAGCTGAGGGGTTGCCCATCGAACCAAAGATTGTTCTAATCTTGGCCTGGTGCTGTTCAAATACTCACCAATAATTAATAAAAATAGTGAGAGTGAGTGAATTTTCCTGAGGGGGAAAAATAACTGAAATAATGTTGATGAAGCTTTTTGATTCCTCACCTATCAAATGGTTTACGCCCAGTGAGAAGTTCCAACATAACCACTCCAAAGCTGTAAACATCACTCTTTAGAGAATGCTGACCAGACATGACAACCTCAGGAGCACTGTAACCTGACCCTGCATCATCACGATTCAGTGCCTACACATACAAAGAAGACAGTTTTAGAATCATAGAATCCACAAGTACTGTAGTATTTTGTAAGAGGATTGGCAAAGAATAAAAATACACTTTCACCATCCCATTTGGGTTCAAGCCAACATTGGGCCATTGACACTGGGAAAAATGGTAAGAAACTTTGGAATAAGCAAGATTTAAACATGGTTGCCTAATGCCAGTAAAATTTAGGGGCTTAAAATTCACCTGTTCTCCATTTGGGATGAAGCTTGCCAGGCCAGAGTCAGCAAGGTGAGGATTAAGCTCTGAATCCAGTAAGATGTTGGCTGACTTGATGTTTTTGTGAACAATAGATGGTGCACATACTTCGTGAAGGTACCTGGGAAATATCTCTTCGTTAAGTCCATGAAAATGTAATATAGAATGACAAAAACAGTTTTGGATATCTAGCCTGTTTCCTTTGTGACATGATTAAGAAAAACATATAATAGACTGCATCTAATCTTAACAAAAATCTGGAAATTAGCGAATCTGATGAACGGTGAAAACCCACTACCCTCAACTGGTTGTAATTAACGACACACTGCCAAAGGCAAACCATTCCCATATCTTGGAAGAAGACCAAAATCATGTATCAAAATGGCAGAGAGAATCAAATGCAAGGATGCAAAAACAGTTTCTAGCTCTGTCTGCCTTTTTGGTTTATGAAGATAAAAGCTAGCAATATGTTTTATCATGGTTCCAGTATCAACTTACTCTAGTGCACGGGCCATCCCCAAAGCAATCTTGACACGGGAGTTCCATATCAATGGCTTGCTGTACTCATCTAGTAGATGCAGAAAGTCATGCAGTGAACCATTTTTATGAAACTCATAGACGAGAAGGTGCTGTCCATGCTCCGAACAATAACCTTCAAGCTCTGTAACATTTGGGTGGTGCAACTTGGAGATGTTTGAAACTATCTCAATAAAATCATCAGACAGTTCAGCATGAAAAACTGATGAATCTATTTTCTTCACAGCTAGAACCTGTCATGGTGTAAAACAAAGTAAAAGGATATGATCACCAACCCTTTCGAAGCAGTTAAGGCAATTAACATGTAATTACCACCAAAAGAAACATGAGAGGATTGATCGAATTGGGATGTGTAGCATTAACTAGGAGAAACAGAAACATCCATAGTATTACACACTAACAAGGTTGCAGTTAATGTACATGCAAGATAAATTATAATTTGCTTGCTGTTACCATCATCAAAAAATAATTTATGCATTATGCTAGAAATTGTTTGGAGCATAATAAAAATGAAAAATCATTAACAATCAAACTAAGAGTATCTCTAGTGTTTATTTGATATAACTTATGAATTTAAGAGTATACCTTGCCATCATTGAACTGAGCTCGATAAACACATCCAAAAGACCCTTCACCAAGAAGATTTTCAACACTGAAGCTGCCAGTAGCCATCTGGAGGTCTGCTATCGAATATGCTGTAACGTCTGTAGGAGGTGGTACAATTTTCTTCACAACTACAGGCTTTTTTGAAAAATCCTCTTCATCAAATGATTTGTGCCGCTCAGCTGGTGGGGGTCGAAGATTTATTGAAGCAGACACATCAAAGGTTTTTGTTTTAACTGAGGAGGAAGACTGAATGGACTTCAATTCTGCAATACAAGTTTAAGCATGAGAAACATGTACTCAGATCAAAAGATCATAGTTGGTAAGCTGTCAAAGAGGAATAGCTTTAATGAGAAAAATAAGCCACTTATGACAATAAACAAGATAACCATACTAAAGAATATTTGCACAGTTGCCTACACAACATTTGACTGGGGCAACTGCATAACAGCAGCATCAGAACAAGGTATCTTGAGAACATTATTGCCTGTTCAATCGACAGAGACTCCCTACAGACTAGAATTTGGATTCAGTTAGCATATTCTTTTGGCCATAAGTAAAATAAATTAGAAAACCATTTTGTGTTGAACAAAAAGGGTAAAACATTTGAATATAATATATTGAGAAATTCAGATAGAGCCATGGACTCAAGGCTGGATATGAAGAACTAAATTTTGCATGAAAGCATTTACCACACCACTTCAAATTTTTCACTTTTCAAAATGGCCCTAACATGATAGCACTGAGGAAGATAAACTCAGAGTTGTTACTTAACGAGGTCATATGAATATATATACTATATGGTAACTATAAGAACAAATATATAGCTGTTCAAATCAAAAGATAGAACTCGCCAGTCCTTAATTTATGAGTGTATAACACACCGAGCAATCAAAACGCAACAGCATGAGAATGAATAGAGTTAAGCTGGTTACTGGTGTTACAGAATTTGATTGCAGAATCTCAGTAGATTATTAGTTTTACCTTGCACTTCACTAGAAGGAACGGGAGCAAAGGACCGATTGTGGAGCTTTTCCATATCTGAGGATGACTTCCTGGATCTTTTCTTTACTAGGAAGAATGCTATTATACCCCCAGCAACAACAATGGAAATAATTATTCCAGCAATGCTACCGCCTCCTATACCTGATTTGCTACTACTACCACCACCACCACCACCACCAGCAGAACCAGCAGCAGAACCATCATCCGAAGGAGAATTGTTGCTATCAGATTTATTATTACTGTTGCTTCTAGGAAGTTGGGTACCAGGAGGTGGGGTACCAGGAGGTGGTGAAGGAGCAGGACCTGAGCTCCATGCATTACCGTCCTTCCTGCCATGAAGATTCTTAGATTCAAATTTGTAGAAGCCTAGAAGGTTTTCTTTAGAAACCTAAAAGCAATGATAAGAGTTGGCAATGTTGTCAAATGCTTACTGTATATTGATATTCTTCAACCGTTCTGGAACCCAACCTGTAAAATGATTATTTGCAACATTCCTATGGCACGAAATACAAATGATGAAAAGGAAAGTATAAGTCATCTTGAGAAAGGAAAAGAATATCCTGTTCCATCTATGTTAAACTGATATACTGGTTACTCACAGGTTTTCAAGAGGAAGATTGGCAAGGACATCAATAGTTCCTGCAAACTGGTTGTTTTGCAGATACCTGCATATGATAAGCAAAATAGATAATACAGCAGTCATGAACAAATAATAAACTTTACACCATGGAGGTAGTCTATTTGTCTCTAATGCTTACATTGCAGTGATACTGGTAAGGTTGCTGAAACTCTCAGGGAGATTACCAGTAAATGAATTGAAAGAGAGGTCTCTGGAGCAAAGAATAGAAATAAACTGTCACTCGCTCTTCTAAATCAGATTTAAATATTTACCATATTATCAACCATAGGAAAACCAAACAAAGGAATTTAGGCAGCTGAAGGAAGCTTTCTGAGTTGGATGTCAATCAGGAGACAATCTTACAGTGTAGTGAGGGAAGAAAGATTTCCAAAGATGTCCAACAGCTGGCCCTGTAGCTGATTATGACCAAGATTTCTGCATTCCAAAAAGGGGAAGTTAAGAGAAATAAAAGAAACATGCGCCCAGTGTTAGTATCCAGGGAAGTTATGAAATGAATCGGTGGTAGTGAGGAACATTACTCACAAATATTTAAGGGTGGTCATTGAGTAGATGGAATAAGGGGGGCCTTGATTAAATTGATTATTAGCAAGATTTCTGCATTCAAAGAGAAGCTCTTGTAAATCACCACAAAAGTCAGAAATGGAACAAGAAGAAAATTAAATAGGTAATGGAGACAAATGAGCACATAAGACATACAGTCGCTGCAAATTTGGAGGAAGACCATAAGGCATGTCACCAGCAAGACTATTATAGCTAAAGTCCCTGCAAATTTTTTCAAATATTAGTATGAAGATGACCAAATAAAAGAGAGGAAACCATACAACCCTCTAAGACTGCTGATTCTTACAGTTCAGTCAACGCTGTCAAACTTCCAAGCTGGTAACCCAATGATCCAGAGAGTTCAAGACCAGAGAGTTTACTGAAAATATCATAGAAAAACAAAGACCACAATCAGCATCCATTATGACATCTACAGACAACAAAGACAAAAGAAGACCACGGAATAGAGAGATCACATTTCTGTAACCCGTTGGCCAGAGCAAGTAACCCCTTTCCAGGACTGCCCACATGGATCACCACCACTTGGAACCCACTGTGATAGCTGTGATGGTGAATTCAAACTACTAAACATGACTCCCAGGGCAGAAGCTGCATGTTAAGAGTCCCACAGGTAGGATAAGTAATCATCAAGAGGGCAGATTAAAAGTCTGAGACTTTCTCCTAGCTTTTATGCAAATTGTGTTTTGTGATGAGAAGCAGCAGATCATATTCAGCAGTAAAATGCAACGTTATGTTATGTGAGCATGTGTGTTACTTAAGCATGAAAAAGAGATTCTATTCGTTATACTATTAATGTCTATCAATCAGTCAACTGACTTCGCCATTCCATGCCAATAAAAAGAGTTGGTTAGGGATAAGACCTGGTCAAGACTACTAAGTAATAACAAATTAAAGCAATATGAACATTGAAATTTCTCCCCTTTTGGGATCAATCTGCTTCATCAGGGTGGTGCAAAAGAGCACCAGCCAACCGATGTGATAATCAAGCTTAAATTCTCACACACCATGGGGAAAAAACTCACATTTTATTCACCCAACGAAACAACCTTTCGAAAGGAAGTAACATCATAGCTACGTCCAACAACCATAGACAAAGAATCGTGTTTATAACCAAAAAAGTTTAAATCACTGACTACAAAAAACACCAATTCTTTCCCTCGAATAGAGAAAACGAGGATCAAAGAACAAGATTTTTTAAAGACACAGACAGCTTAAAGACACAGACAGCCACCACGAAAACAGCAAAACCACACAATGCATCAAACAGAATCATTTGAAGTCAGTATCAGCTCAGAGCAGATAGCATTCCAGAGGCAAGCAAGAAAACAACACCAAGAAAGAAACTAGATTTGACAAAACAAACCAATATTCAGCAAATGGGTAATCTAGAAATGTAAGCAAACAAGCAAGATCAAAAAAAAAAAAAAGGCACCAACCATCTCCTTGATCTGTGTCACCATTAACACATCGGGGCTCGAACCCCAAAATGTAGACTGTAAGCACCACCACCACCACCACCTCTCTCCAACTCTCCACCATCTCCGTTACTCTCTCTCCAATCTTGTCACTACCCAGAAACCAGCACTGGCTTTGGTCTTATAAACACTTCTTATCTCCTTTTTTTAATTCTGTAATGAGTACGACAGATTTTATACCCATTTAACCATACCCAAGAAAAGCTGTCAGACACGAATTGCCAGAAGAATCCAAAGTCACAGAAAAGTTTATACATTTTACCTTCTAGTTTATCAGTACCCACCATTTTACACCATTTCTTTCCACATATTTTGTCAATAAAATGAGTTGCAAAAAAGGAAATTAAAAAAAATAAATAAATAAATAAACAGTGTGGGTAAGATGCGCAAAGCTCCTGTAATTATATTTTTTATAATTAATTTATATAAAAAATATAAAAATTAATATTTTTTTAAATAATATTTTGAATTCTTTGTAAGAATTTTAATCTTTAAGCTAAGTAACAGATGTGAAGAAAATTTTTTTTTAATATAATCTAACACGATTCAATTTTAAATTAATTAAATCAAATCAAATATGGTTATTAAATACAGAAAGATATACTAAAAAAATCACTTGTGTAATTTTATTTAATTAATCAATTTAATTTAATTCAATATTTTTATATAAATTAATTATAAAAAATATATATTTATTGTATCTATAATTTATACATAAACATTATCAAAACAAAACTACAGATATAATCTTACTTACAATTATAATGTAGTGTTATAATATTGCAGTTGTCGGCCTTTTTTTTGGGAGGTGTAGACTGTGTAGTCCACCTCTCTATGTACCTGTCCGGCTGTCCCTTCCACAAAAAAATCAAGTAAAAGGGTACTGTGTTATCTTTGGATTTAGATTTGGATTATTGTGATTGTGCAAACTTTGAAGGGATTTGATGGTATCCATCCAGACCATCCCCATCAGAGATTGCTTTGAAGATTTGGTGATCAATCTTTTTTTTTTCAAATTTCATGGGGAATTTATAGACGAAGAAAGATATCATTTTGAGGATGGAAAACTGGGTTAATATCATGGCAACCAGCACTTGCCCGTGTGGCCTAATAGCTAGAGTCATTGAAAAGTGCACATCTTTTTTTTTTGGGCGGGTTCCATGACAAACTGTTCAAAAACATATATATATATCATGGCCACCATTATTAATTAATGTTATGGTTATTAAATTTAATAAAATATTATCTTTAAAATATTAATCTTATTTAATTTGATTAATAAATTTTATTT